TAACCTTAAACATTCTTGGAATTGACATAACATTACTGATGTCGTACACACCCTTCAGTGTGAAATGTGGCTCTCTTTGCAAGCACATCTAACATCTAAGGAAAGAAGAGCTTAGATTGGTACCAGAGCATAATATAAGTGTAGAACCTTTCCCTTTTCTGACAATGCAACTGAGAATTAATATCCGAAAGAACAACACACATTTTACAGAAAGCATTCCTCCCCGAACGAGACTCGGTTTACTTGTGGTTTATACCAGTATGTGTTTGTACATATGATGTTTAATTTGCTTGAATTCCAGTTCTATTGACCTTAGCGTGTTCTCATGAGTCACAACGCCACTTCCCAATTTTAATGAGATTTTATGTATAAAGTATTACATGAATAAGTTGGTCAAGTACAATATAAACACCAATTACTATGAAAATTCTATTGACAGAACGTTTTCTCTTTTGTGCCATCTGACACAAGACATGTAGGGTTCATGGTAAAATTCATGCATATCAAGCTAAATCCAGCATTTTAAGTAATCCAGGTTATATAATAGGCCTACAGTGTATATGGGCCTATTAAACGTCGGCGGTTCTTGCAGTATTGAGTCTCCTTGCAAATTATGCATTTCTGTACTCTATCTGTTTGCTGCACTGATGCAATTTATAATATAGGCCTAGGCGTATAACTCAATGTCCCAGTTGTTGCACTCTCAACTTCTTCCTCCCTGCAACTGGTGCATTCCTCTACTCTATCTATTCCCTGCACTGATGCAGTATATAAATCAATGTCCACAGTTCTTCACTCTCAACTTCTATCTTCTTGATACTGATGCATTCCTCTATACAGTAGGCCTACTCAGTTGCTGCACTGACGCAGTTTGCAATATATAACTTAATGTCCGTAGTTCTTGCAGTCTCCTTGCAACTGATGCATTTCTCTACTTTACCTGTTTGCTGCACTGATGCAGTTTGTAATATGCACTCAATGTCCCAATTTTTGCACTTCCAAGTTCTAGCTCCTTGAAACTGATGCATTCCCGTACACTGTATTCATTTGCTGTAGTAATGCGCTTTCATAGATCTTTGATATTTTATATATTCTTGTTTCCTACTTATATTTTGGATTCATGTATGATGTTTTATTTTTCAGTTTTATTTTCGTTACATTCATACTCCAGATAAGCCATTTCTCGAGTGTCTAAATGTTGTTGAAGTAAAATGTAATAAATAAAATACAAAAACAGTTGTATTCCTCTGCTGTAGTTATTTGCTGCAGTGTTTTGTAACACATTTTAAGTTTGGTATCCTTTGCACCTAATAGAAATATAAAAATTACTCTTATATAAATTGGTTATTGGTGCTTTTACTCATTTTTTAATAGGATATATGCTGCTTACCTGAAACACACTGGTGTTAGAGCTTATCTGAAATATAATGAGATACATATCTATTTATAGAAATAATTTGTAGGCCTATTTCCTCTCTTGAAAAGAAGCCTCTTTTTATTTTGCAAAAGTAGTCTTGAAAAGAAGTCCATCTCGAAAGAAGCTTCTACTCAAGATAATAATATGGGCTTCTTTCGAGATAATAGCATTCAGACACTGACGTAATATTTTATGATTATGATAGCGTGTCAGTATCAATGGTATTTTATTGTACTAGCATGGTTGAAATTGAAAAAAATATTAAACAGAATTTCGAATTCCATTGTTGAAAAATGTCGTAGACTACAATAGCAATTCCAAAAGTTTACAGCATTCATTTTGAAAAGAAACCCCTCTTTTATGTTTGCAGATGTAATCTCGAAAAGCAGCCGATCCAAGGGTCCTAAAAATAGAAGCCTATTAGCATTTGTCCGTAGAATTGTATATTTTCTGTTATTTTAGGGGTGTAGAAATGTTTGGCTTGTCCTTACATTATTTCCATAACTTGATACCGTATTCATTTATCTGCTGATCTGATTGAATGTTATAGGTCAGTGTTATGACCACAGTAGGGAGCTTTCGACATAGTCCAACCTGAAATCTTGTACTAAATGCATCCTAGCTCCTTAAAGTACAAGCAACCTCGTATATCCAAGTACTAGAGGAAATTCTCTTGAAAATGTACTCCTTTTCCTCTTTCGCTTTAGCTTTACACGAGCTACAGCCGTATTTGTTTGAATTTTAACATTTTAATGTACTGATTAACGTTTTCAGTTTTTGTTAAAAATAAATAAAAAATACACAATTGAAATAAGCAAATTAATCAATAACTATCTTTAGTAACTTTTTAATTTTTTAATGAAATTATTAAAAGAGGGGTTTTATATATATATATG